GATTTTTTTGTCTTCAACCTCGGAAGGCTGGATATCCAACAGCTGGTTCTTCCACAATCCGGGAGAGACCTGTCAGCCATTTATTACTAAAGGTACCATTTCTGTCTATATTTTCGGCCTATCCAGCTTCCTGGGGGTAATGTTCTTCATCAGTTTACTATCTGTAGGGTAAAATTAGACAGTTTTCCTTTTTCCTGAATCTGTTTCTTGTAAGATTTAAAAAGGCTTCCCCCACTTTGTGTAAGTATCCCAGATGAGTGAAGAAGCCTCTTCTCCCATCCACTTGTTTCAAGATTGTAGACATTCAACAGTCTCCCTCATCCTTTGGCTTGGAAACTAAGGATTCCTAATGTTATTTTAGGAGTGCTTCTCTTCCCCCTTGGTCCCCTTCATCCTACGTTGCTGCATTCATTGTGTGTCAGGATGTAGTTGATTTTGTTCAAGGACCAGGTAATATTCTCTCTTGTTTTTAAAACTTTCTGCTGGGGCTCTGCTCAGACCCAACATTTTTGATTGAAGCAAAACTGCAACTTCCAGCTTCTTCTTCTGGATGGCAATTTATACCCCAAACCTAGGCCCCTGTAAACGTAGCTTAGGCAAATTCTGCCTTAAATATACTGTCTTATATGGTTAAATATTCCAGCCTTCCAGATAGATTCAGAAAGCACCTGCATGCAGACATGTTTTTCTGGCTGCCACATTTTTACCAGTTGCTTGCCCTGAGTATATTGCTGACTTTCTGTGGATACGTTTTACAGACACTTCAAAACCTACACTCAGACTTGGGAAGAAGCTTCCTGTCACAGCTGCCAGCTGCTGCAGTGGCAGGCCCAGGACATCTTGGAGTGGCATTTACATGTCACTGTTCTGTTTTTAGGGGAACGTCTGGGACTCTATCCCATGTCTATCCTCCTTGTAGATCTGGAGGGCAAAGAAGTTGGGGCTGATGAGAAGGGATGGAGGAAGAAAACCTATTACCCTCCAAGCATGGGATTCTAGGCACTTTATCCGTATTAGACAATTAAATCAACTTTGTGACAGAAGGTATTATTACCATTCTCATTTTACAGATGAGGAAACTTCCCAGAGAGGTGAAATATCTGTTCAAGGTCACACAGATAGTAAGCGGAAGGCCAAGATTTGAAGTCCAGTGCCAAATTGGGTGCTTTTTGCACCACCCCACCCTGAGGCCCCTGAGAAAGGGTTGAGGCTTGGTCAGAGTCTCCAGCCTCCCACCCTGGGGCCCCGGCCCACCCCGCCCACACTCACTCTCAATGCTGTTGTTGTTGAGGTACAGGTGCTCCAGCCTGCTGCTGATGGCAGGCACGTTGCTGATCCTGTTGTGGGACAGGTGGAGCACCAGCAGGTTGGAGATATTAAAGGAGTTCTTGGGGAGTCCCTTGTCTGACAGCTTGTTGTAGTTAAGGCGAATGAAGGCAAGGTTGGGGAAGCCGTTGAAGTAGCCGTTGGGGATGGTCTCAATGTTGTTGCTGTCCAGGTAGAGCTGGTGAATTGCCGTGGGGACCTTGGGTGGCATCTTTCTCAGGATGTTGTGGGCCAGGTTGAGCTGCATGAGGTTCTTGAGGCCCTGGAAGGTGTCAGGCTTGAAGACACCGTCACTCAGCTTGTTGTGTTGGAGATCCAAGAGCAGCAGGTTCTCCAGCTTGCTGAAGACGCCGGGTGGGATTCTGGAGATCCTGTTCTGGCTCAGCCTCAGCTGCTCTAGGTTCCGGGGCAGGGCCGAGGGTACTTCTTCGAGCTGGTTCTTCTCCATGTAGAGGAACACCAGGCTGGGTAGTTTCTCCAGCACCTTCTGGTCTACCTTGCGAATTCGGTTGTTATCCAGGTTGACCCACCTGAGGCCCGAGGCATTCTTGAAGGCCTCCACTGGGAGCTCAGTTATAAAGTTGTTCTGGAGATAGAGATAATGGATTCGAGATGGGATGACAGGGACTTTTCGAAGGTTGCGGCTATCACAGTAGAGAGCAGACGGGAAGTCAGGGGGGCAGTAGCATTCCCGGGGACAGTCGGGAAAGACTGATGGAGGGCCTGGTGGGAGGGGAGGAGGCAGGTCTGTAGGTTCCGAGGGCTCATGGGGCTGAGGAAAGCTGGGTGTGGGCTGGAGTCTGGGCCTGGGCCTGGGCCTGGGCCTGGGCCTTGGTCGTCTTGTTGGCTGGCCTTGGGCCACTGAGGCCAGGATGAGGAGAAGTGGGAGGAGCCAGCAGAGGGATGACCTCATGATCCAGGTGATGCACCTGCAGGGAGGAGACAACAGGAGGTGGTCAGCCTGCTGGGCCTTGTCTTTGCAGCTGGAATAGGTCAGGATAGGCTCTGGCGGAGGTATGGGGGGCCTGCGGAAGCATCTCCTTGTTTGTCTGCATCCAGCAGGTAAAAAAGGAACAAGGGCTTGTGGGTCTGGATCCCCTGCCCAGAGGCCTAGCCCTCAGTGTGTGGAGCCTGCTCAGGAGAGGGTGAGCCATCCTGGCAGAAAGCATGTTGGGCTGTGGATCAGGAGTCCTGGGGCTTGCTGGAGAAGACCCTTCACCTCCCTGGCCCCCAGTCTCCCCATTTGCAGCATGAGAAAATCATCCCAGTCCTTGTAAGAGAGATGTCAGGACATATGAACCACAGAGTCCTGGGGGTTACATGTGGAAGGGTCCTTAGAGATCCCATAACCCAATGGTTTCAAACTGTGCCCCCACTTCTGTGGAGCCCCCTTGGTGGAGGGAGACCGAGGGGATGACCCTGGGGCACCCCCAACCCACTCCTGTGCCAACCTGAGCAGCTCTGTGTTTGTTAATCTGTTATACATATTGAGGTTTAGCCAAAGCATTCATTTGAAAAAAAAGTGGCATTGCTAAAAATGGATTGAAATTCACCAATCAAGTCCAGACTCTACTGTTTATAAAAATTGAGTACTGGAGGGAAGAAGTGGCTTGCCAAGGCCAGGAAGCTATTTAGCAGCAGACGCAGACAAACACGCAGGTCTCCTGCCTTCCGGAGTAGAGCTTGTGGAGACCCTGGGAAGGAAGGAGAGTGCTGCAGACCCCTGTGCCCGCCCTGCTCGCCCCCTGCCCTTGTGCTCAGCTCAGAGAATGCTGGTCTTTGTCAGCAGGAGACACATCAAGAATTTCTCCCCAGATGTGGAGGCTCCTAGAAAAATAAACAGGGAAGAGATGGAAAGCTGTGGGGAAACCACACATGCTTCTGACCTAGTATTGTGCTCCCCATATCCACTGGTGATGAGGTGTTGAGGTGGGATATCAAGAAGAACTTCCTGCTGGCCTTGGTGACATAGTGGAATAGGTTGCTGAAGGATGTTTTGGGATTCCCCTTCCCATTGGCCCTGATGACCCCTTGATAGCGCCATGTGGTTTGGGTTGAATTAAGTTGGGGAAAAGACAATAGACCCACGGCTGTAGACAGAAAGTGGCAGCTCCCACAGGCTTCCTCTCCTGGCCAGGGAAGAGTTTCCTGTACCTTCCCCTCCCCAGGTCCTGCATCCCTATCACACCCTCTTGGGTCTCCTGCCAGCATCCCCGTTCCCACATTGCTCCCACTGGCCCTCCTTGCTGTTGCTTCCCAATTATGTGGTCCACCCCTCCCCCTCCTGGGCTCTGGGACACGTTGGGGATGCAGGTTTCCTGGGGTTCTCTGAGAGAGAGCGGGCTGGAGTGTGTCCCCAGCTGCATCTGGACCCTGTGATCAGCACCCCTGTGCTGGGTCTCTTGCTCTCCTCCCTTTGAGCCGGCTTCGGCTTAGACCCTCCCTTGCGTGACTCAGTGCTGACTTCTTGCTGACTTTGATCAAAGGAAGATGATAGAAGCCCCTCACCAGCTGCTTAGTCTTGGGCCAGATGGTCAGGAGGAGCTAAGTGTGACAAGGGACAGGATAGAGGGCAGAGCTGAATCCCAGAGAGGCAGAGGGCGTCTCCCTGCACCTTTCACGCACACCCTCGACACCCAGCCTGCACACTCAGGCACACACACCCACGCTCCTCTCCCGGTACCGTGCACATAAGCAAACTCATGTCCACACGTGTGCATGTGTGAGCCCCTGTTTAGGACACTGAGGGAGTGAGGGAGGGAGGGGAGGAGGGAATGCGGATGAGGAGGGACGGGGAGGAGACTGTCCTGCAGCCACTGTTGTTCTCCACCTCCCTCTTAGGTGGTCTCTTCCAGGCAGGCCTCTCCAGGGGTCCAGGAGGACCATTTCCCTGGACCTCCTGTCACAAAGGACCTTGCAGTTAGATTCTTGGCTTTATCTTGGGGTGAGGATGTAATAGTCTTGGGGATACAATGAGAAGACTGAACAGAGAAGACGTTCATCATAAGACTAAACTTGAGGCTTGTTGCGGACCCCATACCACTTGTAATTGGTGAACTATGAATTAATGTAAGTAAGTCCTGTAATATTCTTGAAAAGAGCACAGTCATATTGCATATACATTGTAAGGGGGCGGTTAAAGCATTAGTATGCTAAAAACAAACATTTTTAGAAGCCCCAATTTTTGTGACCCTGAATTTTTTTTGTTTTGGCATTTCTTTATTTTCTGATCACCCGTAAGCCTGAAAATCAGCAAGAAATGTCTCGTGCTGTGAGAAGCCCTGCCCCAGGGAGGCGCCCCAGCACTGGCTGGGGCTTCCCTATTTCCCTTCATTGCCTTTGTCACCAAACGCACCTTCCAGGTACTGGGCCCCGGGTTAAGCAAGTAAAGCTCGTCCAGAGCTTCCAGCAAAAGCCTGCTCCGTGAGGCACAGTGACTCAGGCAGCTGGCCCTTGCTCGAGGGCGTTTCTCGGTGGCTCCAGGCATGGGCAGCCCTGGTCCCCATGGTCAGGAGTGACAGAATCACAGGTCAGTCACAGCTCCACCCGGCAGGCCAGCCTCCCACTCCTTCCATCCCCAGTGAACACGGGCCTTCCTCCTCCCCATCTTCTGTGCCAGATCCTTCGGGAAGTTCTCATGTCCCCACCAGTGCTTCTGACCCTTGCACATTCCACACCTCTGGGGCCTGGCCAAGCTCCTCTCAGAGCCAATAGGAGGTTCCCGGGGAAAAGCTTCCTGGGCCTGTTCCATGGAGAAACTGGATCTGTTCAACGCCCCTTCTCTTAGCCCCGCAGCTGAACCGTTCTGTGTGTGCGTGCGCTTGCATGTGCCCATGCTTCTTTCTTGAGGGAATAGCCTTCATTTCCAAGGCTTTTCTCATCGGGCAACGCCCCTTCCTGCTGGAGCTTGACTGTGTGGAGGGCAGTCCTGATGGTGCGGCCATTGCTCTGGCAATGCGCCGTGATGTGCTGAGTCTCCAAAACCAGAATCCATGTGACAGATTGGAGGTCCTGGACTCCAAGGGAGTCATAGTCCCCCCGTCAAAGACCAAAGTCACATTTTTCTTATGCTCCTACCTTCCAGAACCTTTTATCCAGTCATAAGCTCCCTTAGGGTAGATCGTAAGTGTGTGCGATTTTTAAATTTGTTATGCTTTTGCAAGCACCTCCCCAACTCCCAACTGTGCTGGGCTGTGCTCACTGCTCAGTCAATGACCATCTACAACCACCACCCTTATGCAGCCCTGCTCGCCAGCATTGGCTTTCGAAAAGCTGCTGCTTCATGGAGGAAAAAGCAATTGCTTTGCCCAACCCAAAATTCACCATCTCCTTTTAAGAACATTTCCTAAGAGAGTTTTAAATTCAAATTTCAGTTCCAAGTATTTGAAGATCTAGGCTTGAATCCTGGCTCTGACCCTCCTCTCCAGGCCCCAGGCTCCTCATCTGTGTGAGGATCAAATGAGATCACACACATGAAGGCATGTTAGAGGATAAAGTGTCGACAAATGGCAGGGTTTCGTTATTTCATTTACATGTTTATAAAGGAGCAGACTCTCTAGACAGCCTCTGCTTGTTAAAGTGAGACAGCTCTTGTGCCTGTCTAGCTCGTGGATTCATTTATTGAAGATTTGAATGCCCAGGACTGATGCATTAGTTAGGCTTGGGGCAGGGCTGGGTTGAGGTCCACATGGGTTTGTCAAGTCATTAGGAGCAAGTTTAAGGGTAACTGGCTTTGCATGGAGAGTCTGGGATTGGGGTTGGGCTGGGAGTGAGGTTGGGTATGTCTCCCGAATTGAAGGATTTCTCCACACTACTTACTGGCATTCTTCTTCTTTTTTTTTTTTTTGTGAGGAAGATCAGCCCTGAGCTAACATCCATGCTAATCCTCCTCTTTTTGCTGAGGAAGACCGGCCTGAGCTAACATCTATTGCCAATCCTCCTCCTTGTTTTTTGTCCCCAAAGCCCCAGTAGATAGTTGTATGTCACAGTTGCACATCCTTCTAGTTGCTGTATATGGGATGCGGCCTCAGCATGGCCCGACAAGTGGTGCATCGGTGCGCGCCTGGGATCCAAACCCGGGCTGCCAGTAGCGAAGCGTGCGCACTTAACTGCTAAGCCACAGGGCTGGCCCCGGCTTCACCCTTTCAACTGTGCTCTAATGCAGGACAAGTGCTAAATATTACCCCTTTTCTTGCAGTAATTTATTCCCTGTACGGACTGCCCCCCACACACAAAGCTCCCCGCCCCATGCCCCTCCACGTGGCATGCCTCCACGTGGAGCCTGGGCCCCACAGGGCTGACTCACCGCCCGTGTCCCCTTAACATTCTCTAGCGGATGCTACCCCTCCATAGCCCCTGAATGTATATGCTGGCCCAACATTCTTCTTTCTTGTCAGATTTCCTGTCTAGTTGTCACCTCTAAGCCTTCAGGGCGTAACCCAGCCTGCGACCCCGCCGTGGAGACTGGGGCTGCCTCCGCCCAGAGCCATCCCCTGGACGTTGCGATGACCGTCTTACTTTGTTCCCTTCTTTCTGTTCTAAACTCAGACTTCTGAAAGCCATCCTGCTCCCTTTATCTGCTCCTGAAGCCCAGAGGGAGTTGGAAACCAGGAGAATCAGGTGGTCTCCACTCATTTGTTAGCAGAGGAGTGAGGCAGGCCCACCCAGGCTGCCTGAGACCCTTTCAAAGCCTCCAAGTAGGGCTTGTGTGGTCCTGAGGCAATGAGAGGGCTGATGCGGGGGTGTGATGCATTCAGCACCCCACTGGTGCATCTGCCCCTTTCCTGGGGGTCAAGGCAGTGTAAAGGTGAGCCTGGCTGGGGCAGTGGGGCGAGAGCACCATGGTGCCTACCTGACAGGGGGCGAGAGTTCTGAGCCCAGCCACCACTACCTAGTGACATGACCCTGTTTTTGCTTCAGTTTCCTTTTCTGTAAAATGGGGATAACAAAAGCTTCCCTATCCCTATATTCCTCCTCAGTGGTTGTCAGAAGCAAGTGTGATAAGCGACTTTAAACTGCACTGCAGATCAAAGAGTGCTAAAAATAAATATAACACTGTCATGGAGTGGCCATCTGTCTCCCCAGCGTCTACCACAAAGCAAAGTGTAAACAGAATAAAGTTTTTTGGCCTCAGGCCACTAGTCCAGAAGAGAAGTTTTCCATTCCGAGGGACTGGGGAAGAAACAAGGGTGAGATGGCTCTGCCCCTCTGACAGCCTTTCTGCCTCCTCCCCTAGCGTCTCCACCCCCTGAAGGAAGCCTACAAGAGTCTGTCTGATGCCTTAGGTGCTTATAGACCTGGGTCCCAACCTGCAGCTGCTCAGCTACTTAGCTGGGTGCTCTTGGGAAAATCTCTTAGCTCCACTGAGCTTCAGTTTCCTCATCTGTGAAATGAGCATACTAACATCTTCTTATCAGATTGTTTTGAGGATTAAATGAGTAAATGTGTATATAAAGTGAGTGCTCAGTGAATGTTCAGCTATTGTTGACATTATTTCAAAGCAATGGGGTATCTTTCCCTTCAGCTTGGCCAGAGAGCAGCCCTGCCCTCCACCTGAAGGCAGGGGCCTCGCACCGGGTCCTGGTGCCTGGATTTCCCCCAGCTCTTCCACACAAAGTAACTTCCTTCCCTTTGGGGGCTGCGAGACCACACGTGGGTCTCAGAACCAACTAACTGGAGAGACCATAGAAGCCCCAGCCACCCAGGGAATGCCCCCTCTGTCCCTCCAATCCACTATCCCCCAGGCCTTTCTGCAGCAGGGGAGGGCGCTGGCTGGGGAAGCTGCAATCTCCCCTCCTCAGCTGGCTGTGGAGCTCACTGTGACTTATGACTTCCCTTCCCAGCCTTTTGCATCTGGACTTTTTGCCCTTTCCAGCCTTGAAACACTTACCCCTCATGCTGGATAAATGGGGCCGCCCACCAGGGAGAGGAGGTGCAAAGGGTGAGCCCATCGGAACAGACAGTTGGCCAGCAGGAGGAGAGGGGTGTAGAAGGGACAGGGAAGGGTGTAGATGCGCCGTACCCCTGGAGGCCCAGGGCAGGCAGATCAGCAGGCGGGAAGAAACCTAAGCTCTGTGGAGCTGTCGTGAGGGACTTCCTGGGACGCTTCTCCGTGATGTGGCTGTGGTGCTTGCAAGGAGGAAGGAGGCGGAGAGCACAAAGGAGGTCTTTCCTGTTCCCTTGGTGCTTGTTCCCACTCCCCAAAAGAGGGTGGCCCACTTGGGACACTCTGGAGCCCCTCCATCCGACTGTCCTTGTCCAGGAGACCACTCAGCTCTCTGCCCTGCTACCAGCACCAGGGGTCCTGGGCTCTTCTATCCCAGCGTGGGTCTCCCTCAGGCCCCAACTCAGGTTCTCAAGCACTGGGTCTCCATCCAGGAGGTCTGGAGTGAGGGGTCCAGACACCTGTATTCTTAGTAAGCCCTCCATACCCCCTCCCATACCCCTGGTGATTTTGAAGATGAACCATATTTGGGGACCCTGCTCTAGCCCACACCCTGCCTGCCTTGGAACAGCACTCTCTGTGGTTGGGAAAGGGTCTACCCTATTAGGAAACAAGCTCCATTCAGTGACCCACCTGAGTTTTCCCTTCCCTAGCTGATTAAGGAGCTACTGTCTTTTTTCCTCTGCCACAAGGATGCCTCGCCAACCTCGCCAAGGAGGATAATTTCGAAATGGCTTTAGAGAGAAATATTTTCTGGCTGCCTGCAGAGAAAATAAATGAACTGCCTTCATAGCTTGGAATTAGGACCTCTAAGGCTTGGAAGCTGGGTTGCTTTCTTCTCTTTCTTTCCAAAAGCCAAGTGTTTTGGACCAATGAGATGGAGAAATTCAAGCTACTGGGAAGATACTGTGCAGGTTGGAAAGCCAATTTTTTCTCCCTCCTACCCAATTAAGTTCTCAAGAACTAAGAAATCCTTCCGGTTCCTGCTCTTGTTCATCTCCTCCCTGCTCGGCCTAGACTCAAGACACATGATTTTCTTTTGGCTCTGCCATCTCAGTGGGAAGACGTACTTTCTCTTTGCTCTTACAGCTGGGGAGGTGTATCAGAGGGTGAGAGACAAGACGCAATGTGTGTGTGTGTGTGTGTGTGTGTGTGTGTGTCTGCTGGTATCTAGGCACTGTGTGGTATAGCTCTGCATGTCAGATGCAGTCAGAGAGTGGAGGTGAATGGACCAGATGCCTTCATATTGTGTATTTGTGTGTGTGTGTGTGTGTGTAGTGAAAGTGCAACCTCTGTTTGATGTGTGTGTGCGCGCCTGTGACAGTATGTGAAAGGTGCAGAGAAATGGGTTCTAGAGTGGTTTCTATGGAAACACGTGTAGAAACACTGTGGCAGCATCATCTCTGTGCTACCACAGACATCTGGACCAAGGAAGTATAACCTCCGCAGCAAGCAGACTCACGGGTGTAGGATGACGAAGAGAAGGAAAGGGAGAGGGTGCAGATGGAGAGAGGAAGGCTGGTTTGAGCTCATTGGGAAGCAGAACAAGGTGGAAGGAAGGAAGGAAAGAAGGAGAAGACCGAGACGAGATCAGTAACCTAGGTTGGACAGATCAAGAGGAAAGTTGCTGGAGGAGGGAGTCTTCCTGCCCATCTCCCGACTGTGCTTACCTGCACACACCTGCCCTCCTCTCAGCTCTGGATTTAGAGTGGCAAGGCTCCCTCCTCTTCCTCCCCCACCTCCGTGGAGCTGTGGCAGCAGAGAGCCTGCTAGAAGTTCTGAGCTCCCAGTGGTGCCTCCGTGCTTGTGTTTGCCTGACTTTTCTTCCACCAGATCCTACTGGGGTGGGGAGGTTAGGTTAGGGGGAGGGACGGGCAGATTGTAGGGAGGGAGGAGAGGAGGGAGCGAGGGGAGGAGGGGGGGAGCTTGGGAAAGGAGGCATGACAACAATAAAGTCTTTATTTGGCAGCCAAAACTCTCTAGACTGCGTCCACACGCCATGCCCACTAACGGACTTGTTTTTAATAACATTGCCTTCTGCTGCTGCTGCTGCTTCTGAAGGGAGACCCGTGTTTGAAAAACAAGCCAAATTAACAGAGGAAGAAAGCATGAATAGCAACCTCTGTGCAGGCCAGAGCTGGATGGCCGTTTCATTCTTCCCCTTAATGATTATCTTTCTTCTGCTGCCTGTCACCCACTGGGTGCCAGATTCCCAAACCTGGGAGGGTATGGGATGTTTCTTCTGAGTAGTGACAATCCTTCCCTAAGTCTCCTTCTCTAGGAGGCTACGGAGGGAGTGGAGTCTCACTGGGCAGTGAGTTGGCACGGGAGATAGACTTGGTTTGGCTGCTGGACAGATGTTCTGAGGACCAGAGAGGGAAAAGTCTGGCCTGGGGTCACACAGCAAAGGGAAGGCAGAATTCAGATTTGGTGTAAGACCTGAAGTCACTGTCCCAGTTCATGTGGACAATGTCAGTGTCTTCTTTTGGCTTCTCCGTATATAGCACACTCAGGAGAGATTTGGGGGTTATCATACAGAGTACATGAGGAAATCCAAATGTCCCCCATCCATGTCATCCCAGAAGACCCATTCAAGGAAGACCATCACCTCTAACAATTCTCCCCCATTACAAAACTGCATCACACTTGCAGTTAAGTAGCAGCCCATCGAAACTTCCTGCCACCCCAGCTGACTATTTGGAAAACTCCATGACATTTACTTTTTCTATCATCATGTCCATGGAGAGCTGCAGAGCCCAGTGACAGGGAACTCCCTCCACCCCTCCCCAGTCTGGAGGAGAGGAGAGAACGTTACAATTAGGGTCAGCAGCCCTGGCCTCTGCCATGTACAGGCTGTGTGATCTTGGGCAAGTCACTTGAGCCTGCGGAGCCTCAGTTTCTTCATTTATAAAGTGGGGAGACTGCCTACCTCACAGGGTTGGGAAGATTACACGACGTCACTTTATAAACTGGGAGGATGTTTGGGTGTGGAAGAGGGATTATGGTGAATGGTAGTCAGCTTAAGAAAGACAGAAGGCAAAATAAAGCCCTCACTTTCTTTCCCCACCGCCTTCCACCCAGAACTTGTGCCGTGCTCACCTGCTGGTGAGGTCTTGCTGGAAGTCTGCTGCTCCCTAGACTCACATTAGCCCTGCCTGTGCCAGGCCACTCATGCATTTTGTTTTTTGCCCAGATGGAATATGTCCCCTTCTACAGACTGAGAACATCAAACCTTAGATTTGCTTGTTTCCCTTGGTGTGGTGGGTGGTAAGCAGTGTTCAAGAAAGGTGAGCAGGGTACAATGAGGTGCAGGGAGGACGGGCAGGGGGTGGGGATGGGAGGGGTTGGACAGGGTGCCGGGGGTGTGACTTGCATCCATTTTTACAGGACCCATCCAAATCCCCAGAGTCTACGCTCTTGGGCATTGAGGATGACCAACTCCAAGCCCTTCCCAAGCTGACATGTCTCTGTTCCTCACTCATCCCCCGTCCTGGGCTATGCAGAGAGAATTGCAATGAAGGAAAGAGAGGGCCAGGGGGATATTCAGGAATGTCTAGAGTAGAGTTTGCTACTTGATGGCCTGTGGATCTAATATGACTTGAGGACCCAATATGTTTTTTTTTTCTTGTGAGGAAGATCGGCCCTGAGCTAACATCCGTGCCCATCTTCCTCTACTTTATTTGGGACGCCACCACAGCATGGCTTGACAAGTGGTGCATCGCTGCACGCCTGGGATCCTAACCTGCGAACCCTGGGCCACTGCAGCGGAGCGCGTGCACTTAACTGCTGTGACACTGGGCTGGCCCCCCAATATGTTTTTTGATAGCACATTAATAAAAAAACTTTTTATTGTGGAAAATTTAAAACATATACACATTTACTCAGAATAGTATTACCCATGTACCTAACATCCAACTTCAACAATTACCAGCTCACGGCCAGTCCTGTTCCCTCCATGTCCCCCACTCCCACAAACTCTACTGATATATTTTGAAGCATTCATTTTTTTAAAAATTGGATTTGAAGCCTTTAGGCAGAGAAAGCACTTCCCAGTTCAACATGGTCATCATCCTCTGTGCATCTGGTCCTAGAGTCGAGGGCCTAGACCACCACACTCACTTACCTGCCTCAGTCACAACACCAGTCTAGGGGCAGCAACTGAGAAATGAAGTGAGTTGGGACAAATCGGGGATGCTAATAAGGAAGAAGGTGTCAGGACATCTCAGCCAGCTCGCCTTTCTTATCCAAGTGACAGAAGCCACAAGGGCTGCGAGAGTGGGAGACAGGGGCTGTGTTCTTGGGACCTGGCTTTGACTCTTACACACTGTGTGACCTTGGAGATTGCCCTCTCCCTCTCTGGCCTCAGTTCATCATTTGGAAATGCAAATACTAAGTGACCTCTGAGCTCTCTTCCAGCAAGAGTGTGAAGAGAACCTGAATTTGGAGTCAGGACACCTGGGTTAAAATTTCAGCTCTGTTGCCCCCAGCCACCTGGTGAGCAGATCTCCAACAATCCTGTGTCTTGGTTTCCTCATCTGTCCTTGGACAGTAACAGCTCTGCCCCTTCTTCTGCCCAGGGTACACCTGGGATGACAGCAGCAGCAGAAGCACTGGCTGGGAGAGCGTTCTGTGATTCACTGGCTTCATACAGCCAGACCCTGGACTCCTCCGGGAAGAGCTGCCCCTCTGAGAGTCTCAGGGACACCAATGGGTGTAGCTTCACCCCAAGGGGAAGTATTTTTCATTTCTTGGTGTGTCCAGAGGACACTCATAGGGTCAAGGACAACACAAGTGAGTGCTGGGGACAGGGGTGGCAAGTCCCGATGTCCAGGTTGCTGCTGCTGTTGCCTACTCCGAGGATGGGGCTAGAGCAGTGTGGTCAGGGGGCAGAGTGTGGGGCAGAAGGCTGCAGGGAGGGTGTACGGGGGAGGGAGGCGGCTCTCCAGTGGGGTGGACCGCAGCTATACTTCCAGAGAGTCTGTACCTGCTCACGCTTCCCACCCAGGTGGAAATTCCGTCTTAGGGGCTCCCTGCTTATTTGGCCTGCACGGTAACTGCTGCCTGGTTACAAGCAGTGAGTGCTTAAAGCAAGAGAAGAAAGCGCACGATTGTATAGGATCCTTTCCATAGAAATCCAGGAGGGAGGCGGCTCAGGCTCCCCACCTCCCCCGCGCTGTCCACAGATTCGCAGACTCGCTTCTGTGGGGAAGCAGAGGGGTTCTGGCCCAGGCTGCCCTGCGGTCATCAGGCCCACAGGGGCTGGCCCTGGACAGACCCTCACCCCTCACCAGTTGCGGCTCACAGCCCAGGGTGGCTGGGAGGAGCTGTGGGAGTCCTGTGGTCGCTTATCCCACTGCCCAGCCTGGCGGTCCTGGGTTGCCTGGGGTGAAGGGGCTCCTGGTTGGTGGAGGCAGTGTCCTGTCCATCATGGTGTAGCCTGCAGCACCCCCAGGGGCTTGGCACACCCTGGGTGCTCAGTAGGAGTCTGTTTCACCACATTTGAGGGTTGAACAAGGAGATTCTCTGTCACTCTCCTTTTTAAAAAGTTATTATTTTTTCAATACGAACAGGTAATACATTCCCTTGATTCAAAATCCAAAAGGTACAAAAGGTTGCACAGAGAACAGTCTTCTTCCCCCGTCTCCCCATCACCCAGTTTCCTCCAGGAGACAATCAGCATACCAGTTTCCTGTGTCCTGCAGATTTATTTAATGCACATACAGCAATCAGTACAGCAGCTATGCACTTTTATATTTACTCAGTAGTGTATACAGATGATCACTCCATGTTGGTCCATGAGGCTCTCTCTCTCTCACTCTCTGCCCCATCTTTTTTTTGACCAGGCCTACTTGATGGACATTCGCCCTCCACCCCACACCATTTTTCAGGAAGGCAGTGCTGGGCTTGGAGTCTCACAGACTTGGGTCCAGTGCTGGCTCTGCCTCCTCTCCATGCTACCTAGGTGGCCTTGCGCTGCTCATTTGCCCCTCTGAACATCAGTTTTCTTATTTGTCTGTGGCAGGTGTCAATTGCAGTCCATCAACTCAGTCCATCTTCTGTAATTTAACTTAATTCCTAAATCTGAGCGCTCATTTCACTGGGACAGTGGAAAACTCCATCTTGGTCCTTCTTGGTGTCGCTCCCCCCGGGGTTGTATAGCAGCTGAGGTGGTTTACATGGTGCCAGGGCCCCGGTGTGGGGAGGTCTGCGGGGAAGGCATGCACATCTGGGCTAACATTCCCCCTGGGCTGTTCCGGACACATCCTTCACCCCGTGAGGCCCCTCTGGCCAAGCAGCTGTTTAACACTTTCCAGGCTGTGTGCAGGGGACAGAAACTGTTTGCAGAGTTGTCACGTCCTCTCTGGAGACATGCTGGCTGCCTGGCACTCTGCCAGGAGCTCAGGCCCCACAGAACCCCACATTCTCCCCTGGCCTGGCCTGGCTAGGGGTCGTCTCTTCTCTGGGAGAGGAAGCTTCCTTGTCCTCTTACTTCTGGCCAAGACATGGTATCTATGCCCAGAAACCCCCAAGGACTCAGGCTTGTGGAAAATGAAGCCAAAGAACTTGTAGGCTGCTTCCATTTTCCTGCCTCCCCTGCGGCAGGAAGCATGGAACTGGTCTGCTCCTGTCAGCCAGAGGAAGGGAGGGGCAAAGGCAGGGAAGGAAGAAATGGAACGTCTATCAGCCACGCCATGAGTACAGTGGAACTGGAGGACCCGAAGTCCCTTTCCACTCATTGTCCACGATCCTGTCTAGGGTTGTCAACTTGTGGGCCAGCTGAGCAGTCCTGCTACACCGTCAGCTGGTGTGACCAGACCA